TACCTAGTCCCCCCGCCCTGGGCTCCCGCTTCTCCACACGAAAAAACGCTGCCATTGAACCACGGATTATCGAACAACGCAATCATGACATTATATCCAAGACGCCATCCCAATGATATTCCTCTCTAAAAATGCCTTTGTCTAATCGAGATCTGAGAGACAAGAAAAATGACAGGGTTGCTAATCTTTACTCGAATCAGATAGTATATGACACCTTCAACTATTGTACATCAGCGAACAAAGTGGTGATTTCACTATTGACTTGAATCCATGACCCGCTCAGTTGAAGCGAGATCATGCCCTCGATGAAATGCACATATGAGGAACGGAGGAGTCATAATAGCCATTAACGGCATCCGGCCGGTAGCGGGAAAAAAGTCTGTTCGCCCGCCGGCTCAAACCCCCCTTCGCTCGCCTATGCTATTCCTGCGTACCTTGGGAGCCAAGGTATGCGCTCTCCGGTTCCCGCCAGCCGCCGACGCTTCACATTGACCCTCGCGTCCTTGCCATGCCCGCCCACCCACGCCGGCTCCGGCCGCTTCATAACCTCGGAAATAACCTCCCCTTCCCCATCCGTCGCTCCAAGTACCTTTCCCATGGTTTTCCGTCGAACTTTCATATAATCTCCAGCCATAGCTCAAGCCTCAAAGCCTCCAAGCCTCACACTCGCTCACCTTATACTGCGTACATCCGCCTTACTGCGTTTACATCCGCTCAAGTCGACCTGAATCTGTGCACCACCTTAGGTAGCTAATAAGTGTTACCTGACTATGATCCGCTTGCGGCTCACTCGAAAAAGTCGAGGCACCTCGCCCGCCCGCTCACCCACATGCGACCAGGTCATCTAAGGTACCTAGTATCTCCCACGTGCTCTGGCCTTGGAACTGCCCTTGGCACGTGCCAGCCAGCCTCATCCATGATCCAACTCACAGAGTCACACCGAAAATTAATCTTACGCCTGGCCTTGGAAGGAACTCAGCACTCAGCCACGGAGAACCCCGCGTCAAACAACAAAGCCCGTCGCTCAGCCGCATGTTCAGTCCCTCCCTCCCTCTCTTTCTCTTCCCAACTTACCTAAGCCATTCCCCCCAAACCCCTCTTCCTCCCCTTTAAGTATTAGATCCCACCTGTCATCGAGCCGGCCCCAGTCCTCTCTTGAGACGGAAAGGATTGGGAAAAGAGTGGGGTATCACAACGTATTGTCCCCCCCAGTTCCGTCCTCCAAAAATCCTCGAAAGAGTTGCGTCCATAGAGGTACGGAGAAGGTAGACAGAGCACCGGAACAAGCGCCGTGTTCTGCAAAAAAAAAAAAAAAAAAAAAAAAAAAAACTCTCACAAATCGCATCGTACACACAACGCGCACGGAAGAACACCCGATCATCATTCGACCCAGAAAATGTAGGAAGAGCAAACAGGTAATTACCCATCACAACGGAGCGAGCGCCGCCCAAGACAGTAACCAAACAATTTGGCAAAAGTCATGAGATGACTGATTGGGTTCAGGGTTGGTTGCTGTCAGCCAGTGTTTGGGGTGCCATCGCAGAACCCGTCTACCAATATTTCAGCGCTTCTTCCCGGTTCTCATGGGTAGGTAAAGGTATTATGATAGCAACATACCCCCCCTCGCACCAGGCTCTGAGGCTCCAAATTCCTGCACCATCCCAAAAGTTTCAAGGAACATGGAACTTGAGGTCCTTGAACGAAAAAAAAAAAAAAAAAAGGTTCCTCTTCGGAACCGCGAGTCGGAACCGATGAACCACATCGGCCGAAGCCCATCCCCAACCGCTCTCGTGACCATCACTGGCACCGCCGCTACCTTACTGGCAGCCGCAAACCATGAACGGATTAAAAGTGCCGTCGTGATCCCCCCCGCTCCTAGCCTGAGCCTCAAGGCCTCAACGCGGCGCGCCGTCTGAAGAGGGTGAGGGGGAATAATAAGCTCAGATGGGAAAGGGTACCCGCTATCCGTACGTCAGAGCCTTCATTTTTTTTGGTTCCCCTCCTCCCCCTTCTGGGCCTTCTCCCAATGGGGCCAGCCTCCAAACAACCCTCATCGACGATCGAGATCATACTGGTATTGTCTCTTGATCTTGATCCTCGAGGTTCATCGCTCTTGTTTTCCTCTGCCGTATTGTTTGTCTCTCTTTTTTATCCCCTTCCCCAGCCACCATTCTCTTACCGCCCTTTATTGTTTTTCTTTTCTTTCCCCGCCTGCAGCTGGTTTAGTTGCCTGCCGCCGGTCCCAAGCTTTGTATTGGTACCCGTATTCAAAAGTACTATCCGTACTGATACTGATACGTCCGCCTTCATGGAATCATTCTTCCTCTTTCCGAAAAAGCTACCACGTGCCACGCACGTACTTTCAGCTCTCAAAAATCTTGACGGTGCATCAGTAAATTATACGCTTGCTTGAATACTACTCGATTTCTCGTATCTTTTCTGTCCAATATCTTCTTCCCCTGTCGGCCAAACCGTGACTAACATCTGATCACCAAAAACACAGAGGCAAGGGCACATAATAAATGCAACACTCGGCCCGAGGCGTCGTACGTCTGCACGCCCGATAAGGCCAGAAAGGCTGGGAACATGAGATATCGTCCGTCCCCCTAGAGGCGACCGTTGGAAAAGGGAAAAACAAGTGCACCGCAAACCGGGGGGATAGAGCAAAATAGAAAAAAAATTAGCCCAAAAAGAGGTCCCCGTAGTCTGGTACGGATACCCAATTCTTCACTAGGTACCAGCGTACAAGGGACAAACCACCCCTGGACTACCTTAGTGCTTCGGCATGGACCACACCCTCCCATCAGCGCGCATCATGACGTTCTGATCAAGACATTCTCATTTGACGTACATCCGGAAGAGGCTCAAGTGAGAGCCAGCCCATCTCAACCCCAGTAGACCTTTTTTTGTGGGTTGACACTGTCGGAGGGCTCTTCTTGAAAGCTTAAGCTCGACTTCTTGATGTGTTTGATCAGAGGACGGGTCAAATGCTTGGGCCCATAGGGGTGTTTGCTCCAAGACACCGAATAATGCCGTTCTGTATTCCAGATGTAGGCTCACTGTTCCTTTTGTGTGATATGAAGAGACTGGGCATGTGCCGTATAATTCGAGTTCGTTGAAATATCACGATACCTCGCCATCATGTCTGAATCTTTTGCCTCAACTTGGACCCGTCATAAGACTTGTCTTGTTGACTTTTTCTCTTTTCGCGCGCCGCCCCTTTTCCCGGGCATAGTGAATTTCCGAAAGGCACAAATGGTGTCCTCAGATGCAACTTCGTGCTCCCTTTCTGCCCGTGCAATCGCTGAACACGAACTCGGGCACTCGGTATTTCCCGTGCCCGCATTTCCAACCTCATGCCGTCCCGTTCCTTGTCCCGCTATGGAACCTTAAACGAGCCATGATGTGTCAAAGTCGATGTCGCGAATTCGTACAGCCCTGCTGCCCCCAAAGGCCCGTGGTCTCTCGATACCAGGCAAAATACTGTCGTTGGAAAATCTCTTGTTGCATGGGCAGGACGTCGACCCATTGCGCCGCCGAGGGAATTGCGGCTATTCTGTAGATATTGCCGTCTCGAGCGTTGCTCATCAGTCTGAAAATGCCTTCCTTGTGCGAGCCCAACTGCTTCGCGCAGTCATAAGCTTCGACCATCGTACGTCTCATGCAAAGACGTGCCGGCCTTCCAAAAACATGCATCTTGCATCATCTCGGTTTTGTCGTATCATCGTTTAGTAGTCGCTTGAGAGGAACCCCTGACTCACGGTGGTGTACGCCATCCACGCCATCCTGCATTTCTCCATTCACGGCACCGTCCATCTCCCCGTCGACCAGCCCCTCCATCTTGACCGACTCAACGGGGCCAGATTGACTACGCTCGGTAGTGACAAAGGCTTCGATCTGAAGTCTTATCGTATCAAGAAAGGCTAAGCGAGCCGTTGCGTCGAGTTTAGAAACAGCCGAATTTCTGATATCTTGGGGTCAGCTAGTGCCACGGAGAATGAAGAAGCCATGTGGCCGAGTGTGATATACAATAGCTCGAGTAGGGAGGATATATCCTCGGCGGGAGGGTCTTGGAGGTTCGTGGGTGTCCCCGATGCAGGGGGTTCGGCTTGTGCAGAAGCCAGCTGGATGAGCAGATCTGCATTTTTGATAAACTTGACCAAGTCGTCAAGATCGGTTTCTATATTCAGAGTCCGCATCCGCCTGATAATTTCGACTGATTCCGGCTCGGAGCGCATAGATAGAAGGCGGAAAAGCTCTTCAAAGAGAGAAAGGCGGCGTTGAAGCTCCTCGTGCTTTGTTTTCAGGGCGGCGAAACGTGTGACGTCGGGACCGGCATCGTACTCGCAGCGGGTGCGACCCATGCCCGCGCACAAGGAACACACGGGACGTTGGCCATCGCATTTTGATTTCCTGCGACGACATGAGGTGCAGGCGATTTTGGTCTGCGGACGTCGTCTTGGTGCAGAAGACGTGGTACCAGTGGCAGATTGCGGGGTTGTCTCCCGTTCCGACGAGGCGCTGCTGGCTGCTGTTGGGCCCGCAGGTAAAAGCTCGCGCTGTGGTTTCATCGTGAGCGTTGCCACAGGACCATGGGCAGGCCTGGTGGACAACCGAGATAGCCACAAACAGTGGAAAAGGAGGCGTAAATATTATGGGCGTAGGCGTGTAGCTGGTACGGCGAGGTCTGCGTATTCGTCGTAGTAATTGAAATGGCGCGGGTGGACGAATTAAGAGAGGGTACAGCCAGAGCCAGAGCCAGAGCGGGCCTCAACCGCCAGACCAGATCCGCCCTCCGCGTCGCTTGGTGAGTCTCAGTCGTTTTGACGGTGCGTGTCATACTGCCGACCCGCTGGCCATGTTGGTCGTGATTGAATCGTTCCCGTTATCGTCGTGATGTTATTTTGCTGTTGCAGGTGTTTGGAAGTGCTGACAAGGCCCGTCCCGATGAGTAGTTTCTCAATTTCTTGGGAGCTCGTGAGTTAGACAGGTATGACGAAATGGATGGACAAGACTCAAGCCAAATCCCCGTGCCCGTTGCTGGCTGGGCCACTTGGATTGTTCCGGTGCCGGGAAAGCTGCCGCGATTCCCCCTAGGTAAATAAGAAAACCGAAAAGGGAAGAAATGAAAAAATAATATTAATAAACCAAAACCACATTAAAGAGGTTAAGTTTGGCTCGCAAAGCTCCCCAAAGCCATGGAATCGTCTGGCCATGGCCAGGCCAGCCCATTAGCAAGGTAGAGGCTGCTGCTGCGCGATCCATCCATCCACAGAAGGGACAGAAATGCAAGGATGTCGTAGGTGCGAGTGGCCGCTGCGGCTATCGAGAGTTTGCTGGCGCATCGGACCCCAGCTCAGCTGTCGGTTCGTGTCAGCAGCCCAGCCAGGAATTAGGATTAGACACTCCCGACAATCTGCAGACTCTGCCTATGGCTGCTGAAACCCCAAGCCTTGTGCACCCGCGAGACGACGGATAATGAACCAGTCACTTACGACTGCTTTCGATGGAACTCCGCCAAAGGGAATAAGGCGGGGGAGACCATGAAAAGGCCTGAAGAAAGAAGAAAAGAAACCAGTTGAGTGCAGGAGATCATTTGGTTGCACAAAGACATTGGTTGCGCCAGTTGCAATGCAACCCGCCAACAAGTCGAGGTACATGCGGCACTGCTAATCAGGTCGTTTTTAGCGTCTGGAGCAGGCTCAGTCGACCGTTGATTGGCGGGGGTGGTTCCAAGATGTTCAGCCAAACCGGGGCGTCTTTTGTGGTGGGGGGTTTTGTACCCCTCAGAGCGCTTCTCCAAATTGTCGTTGTGGTTGGCTGACTGCATCGCAACATTGCAGCAGAGATTTGTGGAGAGAGCACGGCACAAACCCGTCGTGGTCAGTGCAATATGCCTACGGCAGTGATTAGCTTGTGTCTAGACAGAGGAGGGAGAGTGACGATTAGCATCGTGATGATAGCCGTGTCTCAGGAGGTGGGAATTCAGGAAGGATGTAAGGTAGACCAATAGACTCTTACCAAAGTCTCGACAATAGAGCTCATTTCTTGGCTTCTCGAGCGAGAAGCTGAGAACAAGGAATTCTCAGAGGAAAGAGTGAAGGAAAGCTTACCTCCTTGCATCTTGTGCTGGATGCCGGTCATCATTGTATCAGCTCGCCATCTTTCAGATGTGAGGCTAGTATCAAGAGTCCTTCGCTATATTTGAGGCTCGATACTGTATCTTGTTCAACCTTCTTTCGTTTCGTCCATCCAGTATCGAAATGCAGGCTGAGTAGATGAGGTTGTTATGACCTCTCCCTAAACCAGCTGGCGTTCTCCATGAAGTCCGATGCTGACATTGTTGGCTGTTCTTGCGATATATCCTCGTATCATCTCGCAGTCGCAGTCCCCGTGTTCGAGAATCTGGCTTCTCAGAACCAGAACCTCGTTTTTGAGCGCAGATACACAGGCATCGAGATACATTCGCTCCTGTGTGACTCGCTGCTCTTGAGCGGCGAGGTCTAGCTCATGCTGTTTTGTCTTCTCGCGGCATCGCTTTGCGGCGGCTCGGTTCTTGACGCGATACGTCTTTTTCCCTTCCGGTTTTGGTGAAGAGCAAGTGTCATGGTCACTTTCCTTGTGCTCATTGGCGGCCTCGGTGCCATTCGTGTTTGCGTCGAAAGAAGCCATGTAAATCGGTGAGACGTGCTCTCTCGCTACAAGACGTGTCTTCTTCATGGGTGGTTGACTCATCGATTCCGGCTGTCGACTTTTAGACACCCTCGGCGTATGGCATGTTGCCGTTGTTCCAGGGGCCGGGCTAGCCTGGAGTTGAAAATCGGGTGTGTACTGCCAATTTTGACCTGGGATAGGAGGACTGTCAACGGGATTTGGCCATGAATGGTGTGAACTGTATGCCATGGGTTCAGGTGGCTGGAAGTCTAACTGCTGGTACGTAGGCCACGATTCGCGTTGGGTTGCCCAAGTGGCCGTCGAGAAGTCTGACGTAGTCCCTGCTGTTGAGTCGAATAACCGATAGGCTTGAATCTCGACTTCCTGGTGCACGGAGGCCATGGAAAACTCAGTCGTGTGGCAATCGCATCCAGACCACCGCTGGCACAGATGAGGCTCGTTGATAGGCGTTTGGGGCGGTTGTTGTGGTAACGTATACATTGGCACCAGCTCACGGTAGGCAGACTGAGCCATCATGTTGCCTCCCACATGGACAACAGAGTGTTCTTCTTCTTCTTCGGTTGAAAATCTGTAGCTTCGGTTTCTTACAAGAATCTTGGTGGACTCTGAAGAGGGTACGTTGTCGTGAGCCTTGACGGCGGTGCTAGCAGAATCCAGAGGGAAAACTCAGCACTCAGCTGGAAAGCAACTAGTATCTGGGTTAGGGGACATATGAGTATCTTGGCCGCAAGAAGATGCTGACAGAAGATGGTCGAGTAAAAAAAAAAAAGTTTAGTTTTGGAAGCCAGGGGTGGAGGAGTAGGAGGAGAAGGAGGAGGAAGAGGAACTCCTACCTACTTACTGGCTTGGGGTTGGGCGTATGGTGCAAAGTCTATGGCAGGATACGGGCAATACAGTGACTGGGGTTGTAGTGCCATGCCGATGAATGGGGGCGCGACAGGATATTTGAGCGGGCCCCCAATGAAGGAGGTGGGAGAAGGGCTCCGGCTGGGGATATGCGTGTCGGGGGTTTCTACTGGGGCTGGGACTGACAGGGGATAAAGTGAGAGAATAGACTTACAGCTGTTCCACCCAATGCGTGTCTTTTCACGCCAGGCGACCTGAGTTGCCAGATGTCTTAAACAACAGACAGAACCGACAGCCGGCGCATTACACCTACACGGGGTGGTGTACACGAAGCGAAGGTGTGCTGCTTGCTTGGAGAGATGAACCCTTTCTTCGCATGATTGTCATAATTGGCATCTTGTATATCGAAGCAGCAAAGACGAAGAGGAGGGTGGATAAGCATGAGGGCGGCAGCTGAGGGGCTGTCCACTGCAGCGGAACTCAAGGGGCCAATGCAAGGTTTTGATGGTAAGAAGACGGCAGAGTCGGAATGTGTTGGTAGTGGCCAGCAAGATGGTAAGGTAGAGTAAGACAGCCGAGAAAGAGATCGCATTGTGAAGCCGAGACTGCAGACCAAAATGCAGACTGAAATGAGGTTGAGATCGAAGCCGAATTTGGAGTTTTCCTGGGAGTCAAGTTGGGGGGTATCCGTGGACTCGAGGGACATGCCAGCAATTGCAAGTGGCAGGGCTGTATGAAGTGCAGGTTTCGGTAGACATTGTACAATGATCAGGGGATTTTGAGATAAGAAGGAGGAGTAGTAGCAGGATGAGGAGACGCTGGTGTTGAGTGGATGAATGGTGGTGATGGAGGATGGGAAAGAGGAGGAAGAGGTGAGGGTGGCAAAATTGAACAGCCAGTGACTCGGACCGTGGTTGCGTACGGGCCTTGGTGCGTCGACGGCAGCAACAACGTCACCGGCGACAGGGAGGGCGATGAATGGGATGTACGGATACTGGATGTTGAAGGTAATATTCCGTGCGATCGGTATGGGAGGGCCGAAATGAAGGCAGGAAGGTAAGTGGTTCTTTCTGTTTCCTGATAGGTTAGGCAGGCGGGTTTTAGAAGAGTACGGCGAGTCGGCCAGTGATGGATGCCCAACGTGGCGGAATTCAATCCGGTGAAACCAATGTTGCTGATTGGCCGCCGGATCAAACTCCGGCATGGGAAAGGCGCTGGGTGGCAAATCTTCCTTCCATTAAATTAGGTAGGTCCTAGGCGGCCTGGGCCCTCCTGCCCCAAGAAAACAAATCGTTCGTGTTCCAATTAGTACCTAGGCAGGCACGCACGGCAGGTAGCTCCTCCCATATCCCTTTCCAGGTTGGCTTCCTTCGCTTCCCGGTCCCGTCCTCTCATGGTGCCTTCCATCCCAACTGCCCGGGGCCCCCCCCCCCCCCCCTTCTTCTTATGTAGTTATGCCTCAGTTTCCACCTGATCTTCACTCTGTCAACTTGCTGTAAGGTACTACGTATAGCACTTGATGCCTCCGATAAGTTGTAGACGCACCGGCGCTTTATAATCCTGGAACGCTAAGGCATGTCATGCTTTGACTTCAGTTACCTTGCCATTTCTGGGTAGACAAACTGGGCTCTGCTTCCCCACAGTCACAGCATGTGTCAAGCCTCACCGTCGCATCTTTACCACACTTCCTCCCACCCAACCTCAAAGTCATCGTGGCGGGTCTTTCCCTCCCCATAGCCAGATCTAGGCACGTAAGATGGCCTGAGCCGAGATCTACTAACCCTTGGTAGTGCAAAGAACCTGGAAACGACTTGCGTCGCCATCCCAAAGATGCCTTACCTTGGTTGACCAAGTTCCATTGTCCTTTTTCTTCCATTGGCCGCACCTGCTAATTACCTATGGGCGATGGATACTTGTATTGTAGAAGGATCATCTTGGTCTACCTATTCTTGGCTGCTAATGGAAGGCGTGTGAAGGTCCAGTTCGCTCCAATAGGTACCAGACCGGGAGGTGCATAACATCCGGCTCCAACGTGCGTCTGTCAGTAACGTACGTCTGCGCCTGCGTGGACCGCTTATCACGGTGTGCTCAGCGTGGCTTCTCACTTGCATTTGCCCCAAGGTAGGTAGGTAGGATCCTCGAGGCGCCGTAGTGAGATGCAGCCCTCACCTCACCGACGTATCCGTTCCTACCCCTCCCCTTCCATTCAGCTTTCCGTCGCACTTCCCCTACCTTACCTTACCTTTAGTACATCGACGTAGCTTTGAGGCACCTCAGCCAAGGAGAAGAAAAGTCCACAGCCAATCGGTTCCAACTCCCTCCAATCAATTCTACATCTTCATCACATGTAATCATGCCACAGTGCCTTTGCGGTTTCCGGTAATGCCCATCCATCATCGCCATCTCCATCTCTTTCCCCAGACCCCATACCATCGCCATCGCCATCGCGGCTTGCAGTCTCCCAAGACACGCACACTTTTGCTCCCAGCAGAACCTCTCGCCAGTCACCCCTCCATGCCAACCACTTGCCCATCTTCTCGCGCTTACCTATCAGAAACGATCCTCCCCCTCTATCGGCCATTGACGCTCAGCCAATCAACGCCAATGCGACGCGCAGGCATCGAGACGTGGTGCGGCTTGCCTTGGACACTACTCGACGATCCTCGACCAAGATTCCGTCTTGATCACCCTGGTCCACAAAACACCCGGACCAGATGTTCTGTCAACTAATCCAGTAGCTACGCCTAAATGTTACCATAGCCTGCATCTCGTTTCCATCTCCACATCTCGGCCGGCCCCTTTCCGTTTTGCCTCAAGAACCAACCCACGATGCCTCGCAGACATCCTCGTCCTCTTCATTAATGACCCTTGGCAGTCATCAGTGTTTGATCCAACTACGCCAAGATCCTACGGTCAGATAACTAATCATGTCTTGTAGGCATCTGTGACTACGAACGAACCGACCCTACGGCACCGAACAATTCAACGCTGCACCAGACAGCCCAAATTGGAAACATCCCCGCTATCGAAACAACGATCCAACTACAAGCCACGACGATCTCGATGCCACTTCGCCTACCCTAGGTCCCTTGCCTGCTACCCTACCCAGCATCGAAGCGCCTCACGCTTGGTTTCCATGGATAATCCCCCACCTTACACCATCGCCATCGACCTGATTGACACCAACCTCCATGCACCGCTTCCCGGGTACCACAACAATCCTTACCTGTTGTGCTTTTATATGGGAGATTCGTTTTCTGGAATTGGCTCACTGCGTGCTACATCCTGAACATTAGCATCTTTCCAAAGAAAATCAATAACAGCTACATTATACTCCGCATCGAGGATAAGGAGCACGATTGTTCTCTACGGCCCGAAATTTTCCTCACTTTTCATAATACCCTCAAAGCACTACGATATCTCCGAAGCAAATGCGATCCTACTCCCCGGGCTAATGCTAAAGGTTAGAGTTATGGGCATCCGACATGGTCCTAAATGTGTCATCCCAACCATGGGTTAGGTGGAGTGGCTTATATCTAGAAAGTAACCATCGGAGTAATGCATTGTCGCGAAGACACCACTGTCACTCTACCAATCTGTATCAGGCCATTTTCTCAACGAACACATGCAAAGGTATACCATCATTTGACACTTAGCACACACCCGACTTCCGAAGCTCCACTGGCTGCAGAATCAGCCCTGGTGCTGGACGTCACACATGAGAATCATGCAACAGAGACTCGGAAATATAAGCGTACACCAGAATCTTCCCATCTCATACTCTTACTGATCCCCGCTTGGCATGGTCTATCGGAGTTTCTAACGATTGAAGCAATCGGGCCCGGATAGCAAAAGGAAAAAGCAAGTTCGCAAGGCAAATTGACAACACCCCCTTTACCGTTTACGCGCCATCATGCAGCTTTCGAGCTGAGCGAGCATCTGACAACTGCCGAAGACGAAAGCTAAACGCCACGGATGACAAAAGGCAGCATCGGTGAATTATCGACTTGTCTTAGGTCGCAAATCGCTGGATCCCAAGATGGCAGCTATGTCTCACAGTTCTGTTCCACTCGCTTCAGCACTTTGCCTCGAATTATACCTCAGCGACTGTTGGAAAAGTTTTCTAGCTCTTCAACTACGAACTACAACACCTACAAGCATTCAAAATACCAAGCCAGAGAGGCTTTGCTGGAAGTTACAGATAACGTCGGTTGTCGAGGGCGACACGGCCAAGTTCACGATGAATGGACTAGAAGTACCAAGGGAAACCACCTCCGCCTCTCCGCGGCCGATCAAATTGGAACGTCTACTTCTCAAGGTGACTACAGATGCCCATTGAATGTATCTACCAGGGCCTTGATATGCTACTGCATGGGTGAACTGACTTCTGCTCACTTGCCGCGCGCAGAGTCGCATGCATATCCAGGAAAGGACATTGCTCGAGATTCAGGAGACTCTTCGAATCCTACTTGCCACGGCGGAAGCTCCGCTCCGAGGCCAGCCGCTCACATGTATCTGCCCAGGGGTCTTTTCAGATGCAATCCCGCAGGCGCTCCTTAGCCTGCTGATTCCTTCGTACGACTGCAGTTGTTGGGGCTTCCCGGGATACCGACTTGGCCTCCCAACCGAAAGCTGATCGATTGATATTCAATGGACTTCTTTTGACCCTTGACTGCACGGATCCTCTACGGCTACATCCGCGGTGATGTTGGTGTGGACGAAGTGGTGGACAGCTTATGCCGAGAACCAACTAAAGTATGACGGAACATAAAATGGCAAGAACCGCAACCAATCAGCTTTGGAAAATCGATACAGGGGGGTGTATACCCCATTAGAGAAGCGATAATTGGGCGATGAAGGTCTCGAGATGTTATTACTGCTTTACACGTGGCAGAGCATGTGGATGCCGTCTCTGAACCATGTGCGTTGTTGGTTATTGGACCCAAGGAGCTGTGATCTATTTCCACATCTCAAAGATACCGTTTGGTTGATGGCGGGGCAAAGCTTCCTGCTTTCCAGCCTTGGTAGTTAGCTCTGTTGACTACACTAGGCATACCAGATCGTGTTTGGAAAGCTTTCAGGTTTTGGCTTCATGTCTCAAACCTTGAGATATGTCCAGCTTTTCACAGATGGATCGACGGACCTATGACCCGGGCTGCTGCCCACCGCTTCTGCGTGGTTTGTGGTCTGAATAGCATCAGTTGTAGACGTAACATCCCGGTTACACAATCAGAATAACTTGCGAATGCGCTGTACCGTTACATGCTGACTGGTTTCAAGTACATGGGCATCAGTTGGTTGCAGGGAAGGGGCAACAGGCAGGCTTCGCCTGATGGCGATGGATAGAGCCTCAACGTTTCTGAGTCGTGTTCGCCATGTCGAAGTCCGACGCCCGTAGTTTCTGCAAAGACTTGAGATTTAAAGCTTTTTTCTCGGATCCGCGGCAAATTTGAGCCTTTTTCTTTTTCTTGCTGCGGCTGAGTGGATGGATGGAAGCTCTTGTCTCTTCGTATAGGGATAGCCTTGGTCGGCAGTTTTTTTTTGCCCTTCTTTTCTTTTTGTGATATTTGGTCAATGTAACGATGCCTGGTGAAAATAATGCGATGTAACGGAATTTTCAGCAACGCAAGGCCAGAAGGGAACGAGATACGACGGTCTTTTACGAGATGGGGACTTTTTGGTGGGAGGGTATACGTTTTCCTGTGAGAAAGCACACCTCTCCTTCGCTTTTTCCGAGTTGGAGGAAAGTAGTGGATTTTATTGCTGTTCTTTGGCCAAATAGATTTTGATTACCCCCTTTTTTTTGGTAAGGTAGGCAGGCTGCCCTATCTCTCTAACTCTAACTTGCTCCCCTCTCGTCCTCACCTTCCAGGAGCCAGAGCCTAGAGGCCATTGTTCGGATGTTTGACCCTTTACTTCAACGACCAATCGGAGGGATTTTCATAAGAGGCTTTCACAAAGACAGAAAAGATTTTGGTGAAGCGCTTCATTTTGTCTCTCCAGGAAGACTTTTCTTCTTAGGCCCCCCCCCCCTCCAAAGAAAGTCTTGGAGAGGGTAGAAGTTCACGCACCGATTGCTCCTCTGCCCTGGGGCTTATTGTTCTTTCGCCGACTACCCACGACGCTGATTTAGAGCCTGCAACTTGTGTATCATCTGAAGAACAGTAAAGTCAGGGAGCGGTGACCGGCCGAGTTGGAAACTGCGAAATGGGGTATAGGAGATGGAGGGACGAACTTCTACTCTGGGGAGTTGGGAGATTACAAGTAACAGCATTTGCTTATGGGAGGAGTGAAGAGATTGTCAACTTTAAGGAGGCTGGGGATTTATTTACCCCCGCTATGGACTGCTCGTCCGGGGGGGGGGGGGGTTGCATGTCCATGGGCGAAAAAGGCTCTTTTAATACCATCAGTGGGGAAGTCAGAGGTTCAGGTCGTGCTTGTCCGGGCATACTCTTTTCTCCTTGAAGAAGATAGCTATGGTGCCCATGGAGTCGTGAGATACTTTGGCGTCCATGTTGAATGACGGGCCAAAGGATTGGGGAGGGGGTTCTAGTATGTCGATAACTAGTGGTGTCGGTGACTAGCGATGCTGACAATAGGGATGTTGTCTTCCAAAAGGAAACACCTGGACTGCGAATCTGTAATGTCACAAAAGCAGGGTACATCTGTTTGATTCCTGTTGAACACTGGAGATGGTGGAGAATATTTTGTTTTACATAGATACTGCTGCTCGCTAAGAAGACACAAACAGTGGCCTCGGATAGAGGCAACTATAACCAGTTGATAGTCTGCCCTATCGCTTCGGTATAAATTATGTATCTCAGCAGACTCAGTCCGACGTAATCGCAGAGATGCTACTCTGATTCACCGGCTGCAGAGTCCGGTTGCGCGGTAACAAGTGTCTGTTGTACTTTGCCATCAGAGCCATAGCGGAACAGTTTTGTACTGTGGAAGTGGGTGACGCTTTCACTACCCATCACCAGTCCGGAAAACGTGTAGCCTGACGACTTCCAGGTACGCGATATCCTCGCCGTCCGCCCTGCAACTGTACACCCTTGGGGCTGAGTGCGTTCGGCTAGACAGCTGGCGCGCAATTGTACTTGATGCTTTGTGTACCGTCTAGCAGCTGAGAGCAACAATTCCTGACTTGTCGGATCCGTGGCCTTTTTCAAAGCTTGGGTGTCGTTGACTCTTTGAACCATACGGCCCCACTCAGACGTCTTCATCCTCCACCTCCTCCACCATAACCTGGTGGGGTCTCGTTTTCTCTGAATCCCCCAGTGACGCAGTTGTCTGCAGGTAGCCCTCCTGCTCCAGTCGATCCGCCTCTTCAGGTTCCATCAGACCACCTTGGCCCTTGCCCTTGTCCAGCTTCATCTTGACGTGTGTCGGCACAAAAGCGGTGACGGCTTCCTTTGTCAAATTCCGAACCATCGGCTTCGCCTCGTATACAGTCTTCGGCTCCGGCGCGGGGGCCTTGGCCTCCTTCTCCTTCGTCTCCCTCTCTTCTGGCGGCTCCCTCTCCGCCTGCTCTGCCTGCCTTCTGGCACGTCTCTTTGCGTACCACTTATCCATCAGTTCTTTCGGAATCGGTGGCGGTGTGTCGCGGGGCATGGGGATCCGCTTCACGTCGTCGGGGACATCCTCGTCGCTCGTCAACTCGTCGTTGTCACGTCTCCGCTTTCCAAGGACTCCGCCGGAAGAATCGCCATCGCGGTTGTATCCTCCTCCTCCGCGGCTAAAGGTGGGTGCTTTGTCGCCGAGCGCTTCGCGCGCCTTGTTTACTGCTCGTAGCTCCTTCTCGAGGCCTTCGAGGACCTGTTCTTCGTGGCGCGATAGCTTGCCTCCGTTTGTTGTGATTCCCTTGAGGTCGTCTATCTGTTTCTGGAGTCTTTCGGGGTTGCGGCGTGCGAGCTTCTCATTGCGACGGCCTTGTACCTCCGCCTTGCCTGGAAGAGGAGCTTGGTTAGTGACGACTTTACTGGCTCATGTGTTGCTGTTTGGGGATATTACCCTTCTTGATTGCTTTCGCTTTGTCAGCTTTACGCTGAGCGTTGACTGGGTTATAATTCTTTTCTTTTGGCATTTTGGGTGTGAGTATGGACGTGATGGGGGTTTATTGAAGAAGTCTAAATGGCGATGTCACAGGGCAAGAAGCTTCTAAGCCGACCTTGGAAGATCGATTAGTCTGATAGCGATAAGACGATATGTCACTATCGATAGTGCTTATCGCATCACGTGCAGCTTTCAGCTGGACAGGGGTATGATTGTTGCCCCTGCAACATTGTTGACTTGGTGCCCCGCAGTACCCAATAACACTGTCGCTTTGTTCCCTTGTTCCCCCTAATACGCAAGTGCCCACCAGCGATCGACTGTGCAGTGGTCAGCCTCTGTAGGTCGGGTAGATCTTGGGCAGTCTGTCTCTATCCATCGCCCTGGCACGCCTGGACTCCTACCCAAGTCAACCCCACGGCGGAGAAGATAACAACATAATAACCCGCGTTGGTTACGCTTTATCTCGAGCACGCAACTCTATTCGTACCTTGCAGTGCTTTTCGATCCTCCTCCCCCAAACATCTTTCTCGATTACCCCTCCAAGCACATTGGTTGATACCTTTGGTCGCTAAGTTTCGCCCCCCGCTCGCATCCTCTCTCAATCCACCTCCCGAATCTGTTTGCTTCACAACATCATCAACAATGTCCGGCTTCATGGCCAATTTGTTTCCTGGAGGAACCAGGGACAACAATGCAGCATCGCGACCCGAGACGCCTACGAGAAATAGCTTCATCAACCCAGCCAGCACACCCCAAGGCAGCCCCAGCAAGAGAACGAACCCCCCTGGCGCCCACGAATTGCCCGAGTCCTTCGACAATGCGCTCAAGTTGAGCACACCTGTTCTGGAAAGACCCAGACTCGATCGCCCGCTGAGTGTGATCACCACCCCGCAGTCTTCGGGAAGAGGCAACGAATACAGTCCCAATGTCGAGGACAGCGTCTTGCACAAGGGAGCGACTTCAGCAGGCAGCCCCTTGAAGAAGTCCCATGGACAGGAGAATACTCCCCCCGCCTCGCGCTTGGGAGGCAACGACTCTCCCTACCAACAGAGCCATGCTGCCATCTCCCGTCACGAGCTATACCAGCCCAAGGAGAAGGCTGTGACTCCTAGGAACAAGTTCAACACCCAGAGAGCACTCACGCCCGAAGAGCTGGAGATCCTGCAGCGCCCTAACGTGCGAAGACTCGTCAACGTGACACAGCTCTGTATGTTGATTGAACTCTGTTAGACATGGCGTAGGAAAGACTGACTGAAAGCAGACTTTCTCGATTATTACTTCGACCTTCTTACGTATGTCGGCTCCAGACAGAACCGCCTGAACAACTTCCAATCGGAGATCCCGCCTCCCCCAGAGACCGATGAGGCGACTTACAATCAGATGTGGTCAAAGTACAAGGGACGAGAGCGTGCAAACCTCAGAAAGAGACGAGTGAGACTTCGCCAGGGTGACTTCCAGATCCTCACCCAGGTCGGACAAGGAGGCTACGGTCAGGTCTTCCTGGCGCAGAAGAAGGATACTCGGGAAGTCTGCGCGCTGAAGGTCATGAGCAAGAAGCTGCTGTTCAAGCTTGACGAAGTTCGCCACGTGCTGACAGAGCGTGACATCCTGACCACTGCCAAGAGTGAATGGCTTGTCCGACTTCTTTACTCATTCCAGGATGACAAGAGTATCTATCTTGCCATGGAGTATGTGCCGGGAGGAGATTTCCGCACGCTGCTCAACAACACGGGCGTTCTGAGCAACCGTCATGCTCGTTTCTACATCGCCGAGATGTTCTGCTCCGTGGATGCTCTTCACCAGCTTGGTTACATTCATCGAGACTTGAAGCCGGAGAACTTCTTGGTCGATTCTACCGGACACGTCAAGCTCACGGACTTTGGGCTAGCTGCTGGTATGCTTGCGCCGGCCAAGATCGAATCTATGAGAGTCCGTCTCGAAAAGGCATCCGAGACTTCAGTACCTTTCGGAAAGCCCATGGATAAGCGAACAGTAGCTGAGCGAAGGGAGGGGTACCAGACAATGCGCGCAAAGGATATGAACTACGCCAAGTCCATCGTTGGCTCACCCGACTACATGGCGCCTGAAGTTCTTCGAGGAGACGAGTATGACTACACGGTGGACTACTGGAGCTTGGGCTGCATGCTGTTCGAGGCTCTGACCGGATTCCCTCCCTTTGCGGGCTCCACACCCGACGAGACTTGGAGGAACTTGAAGCACTGGCGCGAGGTGCTCAAGCGGCCCGTTTGGGAGGATCCTAACTACTTCCTCAGCAACCGCACTTGGAATTTCATTACGACGTAAGTGGGCCCTGTCACGGTTGACATGTTTTGTGACATCATCTGACACCACGCTTTAGCTGCATCAACTCTCGGTCTAAGCGCTTTTCCAACTTCAAGGAGATTAACTCTCACCACTACTTTGCCGAGGTTGACTGGGACACCCTACGAACCACCAAGGCTCCATTCGTGCCTGAGCTCGATTCAGAGACGGACGCCGGTTACTTCGATGACTTCAGTAATGAGGCGGACATGGCCAAGTACAAGGAGGTGCATGACAAGCAGCAGGCCCTCGAGACTATGGCGGACCGTGATGACGAGATGGGCAAGAGCCTCTTCGTCGGCTTCACATTCCGACACCGGAAGACTACCGACGACGCAAGTCCGCGCAAACCTATCCCCTTCAAGGAGGAGGAGGACACCTTTGGCACGATGCTGTAGCGCAGACCTGTGTGGAATTGGACGCAGTTGAGTCGGACAACATTTCGGAGAGGCTTCCTCTGAATCTGGAGTCCAAATATTCGATTTACGATGATGATGAGACGGACGTCATTGAGCCAATAAGGCGGTGTTCGAGAAAGGCGAGGGACTACTTGTATGAGTTTGGGACTGGACTGCCCTGCAGCAATGGCATGTTTGAGATGAGATTTCGGGCATTTCTTTTTGCGTTGGAGTTTGCAGATGGACAGGTTTAGGTGGACAGGCCTGCTAACACAGCATTAAGCAAGCAGGGTCTTCTTTTTTCGGGTTGGGATTAATTCTAGGGGATGAGACGGCGTTGCAGACGGCCGAACATCCGACACACACGTGGGACTAGAGATGAATAGACACGCACAGAAACAATTGATACTTTTCTTCCTCTCACTTCCGGTCAGCTTTCCCAGCTTACTCACCGACAGCGGGTGCCAACCTGTCCGCGTCATCTTTTAAGGCTTGCGCGAAGCCCCGTGAGAGTACCTGCCTTAGTTGAAGCAGATATGACCAGCCTCGCCTCTCGGCACGACGGCAGCTAAGCCAACGATCGGGGCTGCCAAAGCCTGACGGCGGGCGGTCTGTTTTTAGTGGTGGTGATGGTTGTGTCGATCAGCCGGCACCGAGCGAGCAGGATAAGCACATACTCTGAAACAAATGCGATGAACGCGCTTCGGCCTAGGTCTCGGTGGTCACGTTCCCTTTCCGGCGCAAAGACAGTCATCATCCATTCCTTTTTTCGCTGACGCCGTTTTTTGTTTCGTTTCTTCTCTCGTCCTCGTCCCGACTTGAAGGTGCAGTGCAGTGCAATGCGCTGTTCCCGACGAACTGGATCCGTTGGCAGCAGGAAGCAGGAAGGCAACCCATTCGGACGAAAGAATAAAAGCCCTAGGGGCATACGTCAGCCCTTTTTCTGTTTTGATGTTTCTGCCAAAACCCCGAATGGGGTGGGAAACGTGGGCTGACGCTTCCTCGCAGGAAAGTACATACGCTTCAGAGAAGCCAAGCATAGAGACGGATTTCCCTTCTCCACCGTTTTGGTGTTTCCTCACCTCACCCAGTACTAAAAAGGTACCTTATTCCCCAGGTATGATGGAGTTACCCGGGGGACCGAGAGCGCAATGTGGTTGAAACGGAGGTTGGTGTTGATTGGCTTGGACTTACATGACGGATCGCCGAACCGAACACTAGCGGTGGTGGACCGGTGTTCCCCAAACCCCATCCCGGATGAGCATTCTTTTTTCCATGTTGTGTCACATCACACATTCGCCCTCTCAGCGACGCGCGAGAGACCCCCCGTTGGAGCTAATAGCTAAGCATACTTGCCGACGAGCCACTAGCGTTTTGTCCGACTGCAGCAGCTAAAGTCTGACTTTTTGTGGGTGAGAGGCTCTGTGTGTCCATGAGGTCAAACATCCACACATTCGCGACGCTCTTGTTCCTTCTTTTTCCTGGTGACACCGTCCGCGGGGGATCCTGCCATGCAGGGCCGCGCGGTTGGGGGCTTTGATCAAGGGTCGGACAGGGCGAGAAGATATGCGCGCGAGCTGAGGCTGTTGGGATGTGAGGTAAGGTAAGCAGACCAGAGTTGTGGGATGGAGGGGGATACACGGCTCTGGGGAGGAGGTGTGATGCGCGTGAGAGGAACCAGTAGTGTAGCCTAGGCATCCGGTAGGATCTGCGGAGGTTCAAAGAGCTAGAGTCACAAACCGCGGTGTCCGTGGGACCAAGGCGGCTCCTCCTCGCCTCCGCTGCCCCAGTAGAGGAGAGAGGAAACGAAGATGCACGCCAAGACCCTGTCATTGCTTTTCGTTTTTTTTGCCATGCGGCCATGCGCCTGCTCGGGACCGAAGCTGTCTGTTCCTCCCCATGTCCCTCATGCCGTGTTCATCAGCAGTACTTCGTTGAGACTAGCGGAGTAAGGCAACGGTAGTCGAAAGGGGTGTGTGTGAGGGCGTGCGTGGAAGGGCGAGGCAGAGAGACAAGAGGCGGTCATGTCGTTTTCCATGAAATATAAAGACAAGTCGTTGGAGCTTCAGTTCGTCCATTGTTTGAAAGTTGTTTTGAACCATCACATCGGAATTGCATCTCATCTTCCTTCTTCCGTCGCAACATAAAAACATCAGCCAAACTCATTTACACGCATTTACATCTATCTGCAGGCGCAGGGGATTTTCTCTCATCGAACTTTTCACAACAACAAGAAAACACATATCAAATCAATCAAAATGAAGGCTGCTTTCGTTGCTGCTGCTTTGGCTCAGGGCGCCGCCGCTGTCGCCAACCCCATTGGACCCGGAAACGGTGGCTTTGGACCCGGTAACGGCGCCGGCTGGGGTGGATTCGCCTACGGTGGTGGATTCGGCGGATTCGGCCCCGGCGGATTCGGTAACGGTGTTGCATCATGCGCTGTAAGTCTATGCTTTTTCACACTTTCCTCCCGTTCATCCCAGCCCTTCGGTCCCAACTTCTCCCTCAGACCTACCGTCTCAATTCTCTTGAACTCTATATACTCTGAATGCGTTTTGCTAACACACTTTTACCAGAGCTCCTGCTTCTCATCCCACTTCGCCACGGCAACCCCCACCCCGGCCGCCTTCTGCACCGACGCCCCGCAGCTCAACGACTGCGTAAAGTCCGCCTGCACCTCGGACGCCGCCGCCCTCTCCACCTACACCTCCGTCTCCTCCTCCGTCTGCAATGCCTTCACCTCGTGCGCCAGCACCAGCACCTTCACCTACAGCGGCGGCTGGTGGGGCTCCAAGACGGGCGACGCCGCCGCCGTCACCATCACCGGCTGCCCCGTCGACGGCTGGTGGGGTCCCGGCGGCGCCTGGGGCGGCATGGGCCCCGGCTGGGCCTACAAGACCGACACCGTCACCCTCACCCGCACCGTCAACGGCGTCGCCACCACCGGCCCCGCCACCGTCGCCCAGGCCGTGTCTGGCAGCAGCACGCTGCTCACGACTTTCACTGGTGCGTTCGCCGCCCAGGCGACGAGCGGTTCCGGGTCTGGGTCGACTAATGCTGCTGCTCCTGCTGATGCCAACCGCGGCGTCTTGGCTGCTGGCGCTGCCTTGGGCGCCTTCGTTGCTGCTGTCGGTTTGATGTAAAGAAGTTTTGCATCGAGTCTTGTCACAGACAACGATTCCCTTGTACCTTGTATACCATATCCCCCTTCCCTTTTGTTGTGTTTTTACAACCGGGATCTGCAAAAAGACGCTACGGAGAAAATAAGGGGCATAGGGCAAGGTTTTCATTCTTACTTCATTCCTTAATGACCAGGAGTTAATTTTGGGGGAGGATTGTTAAATAAGGCTGGATACCTTTGTAACGTATTTTGATGATGACATGTCTCTTGATGACGGGAGATCACTACAGTCTTTACTTAGGTCTTAGGACGGGCACTGCCGGGTACGATGATTAAACATTGAGTTGTTACCGAAGTCACAGGTTCCTGATTCCCAAACACATGTAAAACTGACAAAAGTATCTTGGTGGCCTTTCCGCCACTCTGGTTTACTTCCATAAGCGAAATTTACCAACCCAAAAAGTTCCTTCTTTGTTCACCGTGCGTTTCTTTTTTTTATTTAAAGTATGGTCATCAATATTCAAACTCTGACCAGTGTTGAAAGCCGTTTGTCAGAAAGGGCTCTGGACAGCCCCAGTTCTTCCGAAGATACGGCACATGTACCAGCTCTTTTTCCAGGTCTATCAGGTAGCAAACGTAGCATTGCGATAATTCGCCATGTGTTGCTTCGGCCATTGCAAAACACTTGCAATGACTCTCAGTCTCTGTGTCGATTTCTCCAAAATCTAGCGGTCCAGAATCTTCGTGCGTGGTTTGGTACGAACGGTAGGATGGTGGATTGTAGAATACAGCATGCTTCAATTGCTTGCGGATCGAGTTTTGCGGCGGAAAGGAAGTCGTATTATCCAAGTAGCTATCCTGGGATTGTTTTACTAATGCGTTATTGCTTACTTAGTACTGTTCTTTCGTCGGGGTTTGTTCAGACTCTGCTTACCACCCAACGAAAATAGGTCGGAAGAAGCGCCCAGAAAGGCGTCACGTGTGACTACTACATGTTGCCTGTTGCAAGACGAGCTAAACCGAAATATGTCAGAATCAATCCTAGGTCTAGTTTTGTACTACGGACGCCTTCAGGTGACCCTGACTTCGAGATACACAACCGAAACCCTCCAAAGAACACCTCGTGATGCCGAGAGAATGACTGAGAAAGGTGGTTGCATACTTACCACAGAGCGTAGTCGTTCACATCGTCAGAGGTGACTCTGCTGCCACATTCCATGCAATTATTGATGATGACGGACATTTGAATGGTCATACCGTCCTTCACACAACAAGACCAAGACTCTTGGGTGAAGAATGCAGAAGGATTTCTTGCATCAGCAACGCAGTAAAACCCCTGCCTAACAAGGTCCTCGCCTGGACAGCCTTGGAACCAAACATGAATCGTCTTCTCGAAAATCTAATTTTGGCACACGCTGTAAGTTTGGCTTTTTCGTCTGTCTCAAACATTCAAAGACCAGAAAGGCACTGAAATATAGCTTACCTCCCAAGACCTCCCACAATCGTAAGGTAGAGTTGACTTTCGCCCTAAAGCATCAATGAACTTGACACCGCTTTGTAGTGAAGGTCGGATAGGAATGAGTGTTGATCTCTTGGAAATCGTGAAAACAACCATTCGATACAGTGCGACCATCGAGAACGAAAGTAGGCATCTATTGTAGTTCAGCATCCCGGAAGACTGTAGAGCTTTGAAATACACAACAAGAGTTCTTACATCGCAGCTCTCAGTATGCCATTCAGCCCAGATATTACTTGTTGACTGTTCTGGAGGATAGATAATGGAGACTTCAAGTCATGATGATTCTCCGCCGCTGTCTCTTGAGTGAATGACAACGATTCTGGCCAGGGTTCTAAGTGTATTAAAGGTGCCCGCTCCTGTGCCTGAAGCTTGTCGTGTACGGCTTCGAGGATGGACAGAACCTTCAAGGTCTGTTCATGGCAGGTATCCAACTTGTTTCCATGGGATACGAGTGTCTGTAGGATATCTCTAATTTCTTGATTGCTGCAGAAGGATTCCAAGGCTGCTTTCATGTTATGGTTCATTTGACGCTGAATATCGGATGGCAAATTGGCACAAACAAGTCTATGATTGCTGTTTCAGCTTAGACTTCCCAATGAAGAAAGGGTTTAGAGCTTCAAACTAACAGCACGTGATGCGATAATTTCAATTGCAGTGTTGACAGCTCGGGGCCAATCTTTTCGCGCAGATTTTGAACCTTCTTTGACGTAGATATCGCGTATCGTATCTTATTCTGGAAAGTTTTGGTCTTTCCGGATAACGAGAAGGGTCCCAGAGACCCTTCGTATTCATCTTGCATGGTTTTCAGAAACAAATCGACCTCTATACGCAGACGTTTAGCATGGCTGCAGACATCTTGCAAAAGGTCTGGGTGTGGTGACGTAGTCTGGATGTCGTCGAGCGTCCGAAGTGTAGTTGAAAGTTCGTCAATGAACGTTATAGCATTCTGGTATTCGGTTTTAGAGCCCCCCGAATCTTTCAGAGCGATGCGAATCTTATTGAATAATTGAAGGGCTACGATAATGTCTCCAGTTGACCAGCCGAATGACATTTGAACGACGAGCCCTGGCTGCGGTCCAGACTTTTTTTTTTGAGTGATTTTGGTGTGATGAAGATGGAGGGTTCTGGAGCGAAATTGATGATCAGGTTTGGAAACTGAATGATGGGAGCTGGGGGCGGGATGAACGGGGGAAGGGGGGGTTCCGTCATATTTGCAAAACGCATGCCCGCCTAGAGCCTGCTTCGGGCAACTTGCAACATAGCCACGTTGGGCCGCACTTTCTACCATTCTGAACGTCCGTATTTTTGGGCAGACACCAAGGCTTACAGTAGAAGTGCTGTAGAGCTGTCGAATCATAGCAAGCCATGTTGCGCCACTCGTAGACCTCTGAAAATCAGGCTGCATAATGCAGTCCCCCACCTGGTGTCACTCCGCTTGGATCCTAAAGCAAAGCATACAATCGCTATTGCGGCGTACGCCAGGGTCGAATTCATTTCTTTGCTTTTTTCGTACCATTTTTGTAAGGAACTTTCTAGTGCGAGCTGTGAGATATCAATGCAATCTGAGGGAAAATCTTGCAGGGCACACTCATGCGCAACGGAAATCGCCAGTGTTTTCTTTTGGCACTCGAGTGTGAACTGAAGCCTTAAAGCAGCACGCAGTCGACCAACACGTACTTTACAGGGCACATTCTGATTAGCTTGCTGACAATCAAAGAGCTTTCTTGACATCTACAAGGAACCAGCTGATGTTCTCAATCTCAATGTCTTCAGATGGGCTAGAAACAGGTCACTACCGCTCTAGATCCTGTTTACTTGTTGAGGGCAAATGACTCGGAGACGAACTGAGCATGCAAAGCAAGTGTGAAGAGTGGTCCGTCGCCAACTTTTGTTCAAACAACTACTTCTACATGAAAATATCCTTGGCTTTCTGGAACCAGGTGTCTCTTATCTTTTTGATGTACAGCCCCCCAGTCTCTATCAATACACCACCGAAGTACCTCAATCACGAGGATCACCACATCGCAACATCTCACTTCCGGTTCGTACCAGAAACAAGCAACACAACACTCCCCAACTGCCTCCTCAAATCCTCCTTCTCAACATCATGCGTATCCTCCACCTCGCCCCACGCCCCAGTCTGCCACGTAACCTCCAAACTCAACGCCGTAGCAGCCTCCTCGACACCGAACTTTCCGCCCTTCCCGCTCTTATCGCGATACTCCCCAACAGGACCCTCACTCCACTCCACGACCAACCTCGCCGCCCCCAAAAGACTCTTCCCCGCCAAAACGGCCCTCTCCAACCCAGTAAGCTCCCACGCGTCAAGCCCCATAACCCAACCCTGCACAACCTCCCTCACCCCCTCAGCCTGCCTCTGCGGCACGATACTATGCCCGTCCAGCACCGGCGTGATCTCGATCCCGGGCCACACCCGCCCCGTCAAGGCGCCCACGACGGCGTCCGCCGTCCTCTTCTGCACGTCGCGCAGCGATTCTCCCGCGTCGTTGCGCGTGTCCGTCGCGCCCGCGGGCGGCGCCCAGCAGAGCATCGCGTCCGTGTCGAGGTACCGCATCAGCGTGTTGGCCACGTGCTCCCGGATCGCGCCGTCGTTGGCGGCGTCGTCGGCGGCGATGTCGATGGCGCGGCAGATGAGCGAGGTCAGGGGGATCAGGTGCTGCTTCGTCGCCTGCTCGGCCGAAGTGATGAGGTCCCATTCGATGGCGAGGGCCGAGGCGAGGTGCTGCTTCGAGGGCGGGAGGCGGATGATTTCCTTGGTGTTGGGGTGGCGGAGGGGACGGGAGTCGAGGTGGACTTGGAGGGCACCTGTGTTGAACGCCAACGTTAGCCAGTCTCTCCAAGGCGGTCCATCGTGACACGAGCTGTTAATCGTGGGATAGATAAAGAAGACATACCATCTACCTCCTGCACACTGACATCATTCCAAAACCTCCTCTTCAAAGCCCCAGGCGCACTCGACTTGGCCTCGGCCGACGTCCGGATCCGCTTGGCGTGCTTGAGCATCTCGGCCTGCTTCTTCCTCCTCTCGACACGGATCCGCGCCGCCGCTGCCCGGTCCTCGGCGGCGATGTCAGCAATGGGCGGTTCCGGCGGCGGTCCCGTGCCGACCACGGGCGCGACCTCGGCGGGCTTAAGGGGCGTCGTCGAGATGGCGCGCGCATTGAAGGCAGCAGCGGCGCAGGTCGACCGTCTGGCTGACGAAGCCAATGGCGACGACGTCGCCGTAAAAAGGCGCAGCGGGATGCGTGTTGACGGCTTCATTGTGATGGTACGCCCTTTCGTGGTTGTAGATATGGATTGGAGCTATGGGAGCTGCAGCTACAAAATGCAAGTTGGTCGTTGAATTAGTTTTTGGAAGCTTCGCGGCTAGCCCCGGTCGGGCATACAGGGGTATGATTGGCTTATGTCTTAGCGTGACATCAGAATGCGGGACGGTCTCGGGAGGTGAGCTCGGTGAAGCCTCGGTGTACGAGGTTAAAATTTAAGGGTCCTTTCGAATGCTTTGGAAATTGACGAATTATTAGATCTTTCAATAATCGTTGTTTTAACTGTCAGAACTCGGCTACGCGCCTCGCTATACTTCTACGCCAAGGTGTACCAATACAAATTTTTTCAATCCATCGCCCAATTCCATTAGTAAGGTGGCTTCGTGACGTTCCCTAGACTGAGCTCTCCAGCTCTGCTGTCAATTCCATTAAGAAGGTCGTGTAGATCCATCCCTCCTCCCGACACCGTTGACATGTTTCCATCCCCTCTCGTGGAACCCTGGTATAAACTGTCACCACCGCGGCTGCTAAGTACTCGTTTCGCCGGCTTTACTGCGTAATCCTGAATAGAAACCGAGGACGTCAGCCCACCAATGTGACCGGGCAATGGCGGCACCGGTGGAACGTCCTCGTCTTCGTTATGCTCGTACAAAGGGTTGGAGTTGAGCGGCCCACCCTTGCGTGATGCCGATGAAGACCTCTGCCGTCCAAGAGAGGCTCCATCGCCGTTTTCTGGCTGAGATGTCGCCGGGTTGAAGCTGAGCTCTGACGGGGTAAAGTCGTAGCTGACCATGCTGTCGCTGTCACTGTCATGGCGCACGCCTGCTGACGTGCCAATGGGTGTCGCCGGCACCTGGCCCGTCAAGACCATCTTGAGCTGATCAATGGATGTAACTACACCTCGGCTCGAATCCGACGGTGAGGGCGAAACGCCACTTCGGACACTGGATTTTCGCAGCTTGCTCATGGGAGACAAGCCCCCGGCAACCTGGGATGAGTTTGGACGAAGGTTTCGCTGGCTGCCAAGCGGTGAAGACTCTCCAGTTTGTCCATGCCCATTAGCGCCATTAACAGTCAGGTGGTGTCGGTTGGTTCCCATAGTGCCGCTTTTCGAACCAGCTAGCGACTCTGACTTGCTTCCCGCCTGCAAGGCTAGCATAGCCGCATCTCTTGACCAGTCTGTCAGCATGTGCTCGCGGAAAGCTGTGGGCAGCTCCGAACCGGGCGTCGCGGGCGTTGTTGAAATCGAGGTGCTAAGGATGGGATGCGAAAAGTTCCGACCAGGAGATTGAGGAGGACTACTCGGCGGTGAGATGCTTGTGTCCGCATAGCTCACAGCGATGCTCTCTACAAACGATGCGCGGTCATCGAATGGCAGCAACGCTTCACTCTCGACTTCTGTGGCAGGCAGCTTGGTCTGCAACTTGGGAACTCCAGGCGTTCCGAGGAGCTCCAGGGCTGGCGGAGGGATAGCCACACCCTCAGTCCAGAAATGCTTGCTGCGTCTTCGAATGACCTCATTGGTGATGGCACGTCCCACGGCAGAGTTCTCAATGTCGAACTTCTCGGTCACTGCCCAGAAATATCCGTGGCAAAGACTGCCCAGGCGAACCTTTTGAACTGGCAGCTCTGCGTCTGGAATGTCCTCCTGGAGACGGAATACCATTGGCAATCCGTACTGGACTGCGTTGACACCCAACTGGGACACAAGCTTCGTAAGCAGCACGTGAAGAAGAACAATATCCGGGTCATAGTCGACATACTGCAACGCGTTGTCGTAGATTGCAATATGGAGAAGTTGGAGAAAGTGTGAGCGGTGCCTCGATGGTTTCTCGCGGTTGGATGCGTTCGATGCGGCTCGTTGAGCAACATTGGCGGGTTGGAGCTCCCGACTGTTCTTCAGAGAAGACCGGTGGTGTTGAGAGCTTTCGTCCCGCGCCTTCCAATCCGCCGCTGTCGTCTCGCGGTCTAGCCAGGTCAGAAGCGCATCGGCGTAGGCTTTTCTGACCTCGCCATCTGGATCCCGCAGAAGCCAGTGCGTGTTCTCCCAAACTTGAAGAGGAACCTTGTTTCTCGACAAGTTCAAGTTGCCGGACATCTGTGCACGCGGGTTTGCAATGAGGAGTATGTTCTTGATGGCCTTCAAGGCAGCGGTCTTGCCAACGTTACGGGAAAGGTACGTTTCCAGCTGAGGTTGGCTGGCAGTCATCTCATCGGAGGGGGGCTGCTCAGAGGCTTCGGCTTGGGGCGACGAGCTGGTACTTGAGGATTTGGACGGCTTAAGTCGGAGAACGATCGTCGAAATCATGTCCGAAATCTGGTCTGCGTAGTAGACATGTGTCGCCAGGTCTCCAATGCAAAGTTGAATTCGCTCGAGGAGTTCTCTTCGCTGAGCGAATACGTCACCGGATCCTTGAAGGGTAGAGACTACTTCTTCGGGCTCTCCTTCAGTTCTCCCAAAGCCTCCTGGCAGCTGAATGAGTTTCTTCATGTGCTGGACGAGACCGAGCAAGACGTCCATGGCGCTCAGCCCAATTAGGTTGACGTCGGAACGCAGCAGAGACCCAATCATGGCCGTCAACGATAGATGAAGCTTAAGGTTGTCGTCCTTGACAGGTGCTTTCGACAGATGATCCATGGCCGTCACCAGAATGACATAGCGGTCCTGTACAGGCGCCCATCTCGCGATTGCGCTGTACATGCTTATTGCCCACCCGTGATCCTGGCCTAGCTTCTCGTCCGGCTTGACGACTGTGTTTCCATT